GATCTGCGTTCGATTACTCCGTGGCTTTCTCCAAGACCCTTTAGAACGGCAATTTTGAACACCTTTTTGTCAATATCTTGTATTTTCAGTCATACCAGCGATGTAAATTAATACAGGCACTGCTTATGGATCCTTCTGTATTATTAAATACGTTTACACTTTAATTACATTGTTAGTTGTAAATAAGAAGAGACGATAGAGACTTTGTGTCAAATTGAGACCATGTTAAACCCCATAAATCTTCACAACTCATTCAGGCATCATTCCAAATGGATGAAAAGTTAGTTTGAGAAACACCCTGGCTGTTTTTATATATTTGTTTTACAGTTTAATGGGTAAATCTGATATAAAATGTCTCATGAAGGAAGAGTTTGTGTTGTCCAAAGCGTCTCGGAGCTTCCAACTTTATCAAGATCAAAGAGTGCCTTCTTCTCTTTCATCACTGCATAAAAGAGCTAAACTTTGGATGATTTTATTACAGAGCTGTGCTCCGAGTGGGGCTGAGTGTTTGGAGCTTTCAGACCTGATCATTACAGAACATCCTTTCATCTGCTTTTTGGGAGTATTATTTGAAATTTGTCATTCCTCCCTGAATAAACATCACTTTTCTGTCAGGCTTTTACAAACGTGGACGGTTCGTTTGTAATGAAGGTGCTACAAAGGCTAACTTTGACTTCCTAATGAGCTGGTCTGAGTGATTTAAGCTCATTTTATCATTTGCATGGGAAAAACCAACATTCTGCATTTTATATTGTTGGCTAAACTAACGGGGAGAAGTTTGCTTTGATCAGGGAAATCTCTGAAGCTGGTGGAAGAATTTAATCAGGAACAAGGCTTCAGAATATAAAAAGGTTGATTAGGTTAAAAAGAGGAGGGAGAGAAACGAGCTCAGACCCAAAACCATTAAGGTAATGGATTGCTGGTGGCTGAAACTATTAGTGTTGTTTGTTTTTATTTTATTTATTTTAGATTTGAGGACTGAAAGTGATGAAGAGCATCAGCACCTCTGAATCCACTGGTTTTAAACCAGTCCTTTTCAGAGACTTTCATTAAAAAGCAGCATTGATATCTGACATAAAGGAACAAACTGATCAAACCCCAAACCATAAGCTGCTGCTGCAGGAGGAGCAGCTTCTCCCCCACTTTCTTACATCATCAGGCCTCCATGACCCTGGCTGAAGGCTGCAGTTTGATGTCGGATGCTTCCATGCTGTCACTGCTGAGAACATTAACTCATATATTCAGTCCTGGCTCTCCCTCCGTCCCACAACTGAACACAAATTTTAAATACTCTGAATGAGATGCCTTCATTGTTTTACAGTTTTCCTTGCTGGCAGGTCCTGCAGAAACCTCCTTCTGAGACTTAAGTGGCAATAAGCAAAACGTTAACTGTCATCAAGTGAGAAAGCTTCGTGGATGAGGAGCTAAATGTGTTGAAAAGACAACAACAGTATAAGTCTGCTTGAGTTCAGACAAGAAACTCGAAAGGATTAACGGTTGTTCATTCAGCTGAGATTCCTCGAGAGTTTTCTAAGTATTTTTCACTAAACTTTTGTTTTGAGAAGTTTATTTTAGGTGTAGCAAAAAAAAAATTGTTAGGTGCAGCAGCTGCTTAAGCTGCTGTCCCTATGATGCAACTCCAGAACAAGCAAAGATGATGGATGGATGGATGGATGGATGGATTGTTGTTGATGGATGTTGGATGAAGGATGGATGATGATGGATGGATAGATGACAGATGGATGGATAATGGATGGCTGGATGATGGATGGATGGGTGATGGATATGATAGATGGATGTTAGATAATGGATGATGGATTGATGTTGGGTGGATGGATGGTTGTTGGATGGATGTTGTTTGGATGTTGTTTGGAAGGATGATGGATAGATGTTGGACAGATAGATGATGGATGGATGTTGGATGGACGTTGGATGGATGATGGATGGACAGACATTTAGTGATCAGATGTATTTTAATAAGTGTCTGTTTTGTTTGTATTGTTGCAGCTCAGTTAAATTAAATCATTTGTTTATTAATAAATTGTTGACAGCCGTGTTTATTCTGGGGACCAGTAGATCCTGCACATCGCTGATCTTTGTGGCACCGTTTGAAAAATTTTATTATTTTATTCTGCTGAATACGAGTAAACAAACACACCTGACCATACTTGGTCATAGCACAACAACTATATTAACAAACAATGATTACTCTTCTGCCTGTCCAGTTGTTGTAGGTTTTCAGTGCACTCTGTCAACATGCTATCAACAAGCTATCAACATGCAATCAACATGCTATCAACATGCTGTCAACATGCTGTCAACATGCCGTCAACACGCTATCAACACGCTGTCAACATGCTATCAACATGCTGTCAACAAGCTATCAACAAGCTATCAACATGCTGTCAACATGCTGTCAACAAGCCATCAACATGCTGTCAACAAGCCATCAACATGCTGTCAACATGCTATCAACATGCTGTCAACAAGCTATCAACATGCTGTCAACATGCTATCAACAAGCTATCAACATGCTGTCAACATGATATCAACAAGCTATCAACATGCTGTCAACATGCTATCAACATGCTATCAACATGCTGTCAACATGCTGTCAACAAGCTATCAACAAGCTCTCAACATGCTATCAACATGCTATCAACATGCTGTCAACATGCTATCAACAAGCTATCAACATGCTATCAACATGCTATCAACATGCTATCAACAAGCTATCAACATGCTATCAACATGCTATCAACATGCTGTCAACAAGCTATCAACAAGCTATCAACAAGCTATCAACATGCTATCAACATGCTGTCAACATGCTGTCAACATGCTGTCAACATGCTATCAACATGCTGTCAACATGCTATCAACA